GTGTACCATACATTTCCCCCTGCTGCCCAAGCCCCCCTTTGTGCTCCCACCCCCACAGTGCTGCAGTCACACAATAGGATACTACAGGATGGAGAATGGGGGAAGAGTCCGGTAAATATGTCACATTTACAAGACCCTTCCTTTCCAGAATGAACACAATGAATGATTGAAACCAATCACTCACTGTGTTCATTCATAAGTGAAACATAGTAAACTGTGCTTTTTTTGGGGGGGTTGTGATTTTGAACAGCAGCTCTGCCTATGCGCAGGAGTATTTGACATTTTGGGACTGGCAGGAAGAGCAGGGAATTCACACAAAGGAAGCAATACAAAGAGAACAGGTGACTTTTCATACAAGTACATGGATCAGCAGGGACATCTCAGGAATAGGAAATGTTGGGTTTACACAGGGCTTTTATTCCTCAGAAAATAGGTACAGGAACTCCATCCTTCTGAGTCACCCTGTGTTTGTGCCCACCTACCCACCTCCAAGCACTATTCTTTGGTTCCAGCCCCTACCCACCTCCCATCACCGCCCCTTTTAGAGAATACAAAACCAAGTATCACTTTGTGGCGCCAAGTAATTTTTTTATGGAACTTGTTAATGATAACAAGAAAGGCAGCAAAATAGATCCCTTGTAGCTAGCAACAATAGACCCACCCATAACAATAGACCCCCCCCGCAACAATAGACCCCCTACCCTGTCAACATAGATTCTCTCCAGCAATAATAGATCCCCCAGCAGCCAGCAACAGTAGACCTCCCAAGCAACAATAGCCCCCCCAGCAACAATAGATGCAATAAACTCCCAACAGCCAGCATCAATAGACTCTCCAGCAGCCAGAAACAATAGACTCCTCCTTCAACAGTAGATCTCTCCCAGCAGTGACTGACCCCTAGAAACATAAGACCCACCTGCGGCAAAAATACATCCCCCACCAGCAACAATAGCTCCCCCCAGCAACAATAGATGTAATAAACTCCCAACAGCCAGCATCAATAGACTCTCCAGCAGCCAGCAACAATAGACTCCTCCTTCAACAGTAGATCTCGCCCAGCAATGATTGACCCCTAGAAACATAAGACCCACCCACGGCAAAAATCTATCCCCCACCAGCAACAATAGCTCCCCACAGCAACAATAGATGCAATATGCAATAAACTCCCAACAGCCAGCATCAATAAACTCTCCAGCAGCCAGCAACAATAGACTCCTCCTTCAAAAGTAGATCTCTCCCAGCAATGACTGACCCCTAGAAACATGAGACCCACCCACGGCAAAAATAGATCCCCCACCAGCAACAATAGACCTCCCCAGCAACAAAAGACCTAACCAGCAACAATAGCCCCCCCTCACGCAAAAATAGATCCCCTCGAGCACCCTGGATCCCCAACACATCCCAGCACTCCTTGTCGTTACATACATTCAGTGCTGGGGGTGATGGAACTGCGTTCCCCAGCGTTCCTGCTGAAAAAAGCCCTGGGTTTACATATTAAGTATTAGATAAAAAAAAAAAATTCAAGAAAGGATGGGGTCTGCTTCAGAGCTGGTTCACACTTGTACAATGGGCTGCCAAACGTACGAGAACACAGAAAAAGCACTACTCTTAACCGCATGGAAGTCAGCATTGGTGGTCTGTATGTTCCCTCTGTACAGGAATAATGTATAGTGTAAGTCCTGCTTCACATTTTTATATGTTGGCTGGATTTGGGTTAGAACATCTCCCAGAAGTTTACTGTTAAATGGGGCTCACTCACTTCCTGTCACGGTGACAACGGCTTCTGCCTCGGTGGAATATGGGACTTGCAGTTCATTCATTTACAGATCTCTGTCAACGAATGACGCAACGGTACAGTCAGAGCCCCACTTCTGCTCGGATCAGCTAAGAAGGTAGTTGTCAAACCACCCCCCCCCCCCCCCACCAAAAAAAAAAAATGGCGTCCAAAACTGTTAGAGATAGGAGGTGCAATTTCCCTTTTGGTTAAAGTTCCACTTTAACTTCAAGAAGTCCCTTCTATTGCTCTCAGCCTCCTCCAAATCTGCAGATCTTTTTTTTTTTTCTGCCGTAATGCGACTTCCTGTTAGAGGGTGGCTATGTTCGTTCCTCCTGTGGCTATGTTCCTTCTTCCTGTGGCTATGTCCATTCTCCCTGTGGCTATGTTCGTTCTTCCTGTAACTATGTCCGTTCTCCCTGTGGCTATGTCATGTCTCCCTGTGGCTATGTCCGTTCTCCATGTGGCTATGTCTGTTCTCCCTGTGGCTATGTCATGTCTCCCTGTGGCTATGTCCGTTCTCCATGTGGCTATGTCATTTCTCCATGTGGCTATGTCATTTCTCCCTGTGGCTATGTCCGTTCTCCATGTGGCTATGTCATTTCTCCCTGTGGCTATGTCCGTTCTCCATGTGGCTATGTCCGTTCTCCATGTGGCTATGTCTGTTCTCCCTGTGGCTATGTTCGTTCCTCCTGTGGCTATGTCATGTCTCCCTGTGGCTATGTCCGTTCTCCATGTGGCTATGTCCGTTCTCCCTGTGGCTATGTCCGTTCTCCCTGTGGCTATGTCCGTTCTCCATGTGGCTATGTCTGTTCTCCCCTGTGGCTATGTCATTTCTCCCTGTGGCTATGTCCGTTCTCCATGTGGCTATGTCATTTCTCCCTGTGGCTATGTTCCTTCTTCCTGTGGCTATGTCCATTCTCCCTGTGGCTATGTTCGTTCTTCCTGTGGCTATGTCCGTTCTCCCTGTGGCTATGTCCGTTCTCCCTGTGGCTATGTCATGTCTCCCTGTATCTATGTCCGTTCTCCATGTGGCTATGTCTGTTCTCCCTGTGGCTATGTCATTTCTCCCTGTGGCTATGTCCGTTCTCCATGTGGCTATGTCCGTTCTCCATGTGGCTATGTCATTTCTCCCTGTGGCTATGTCCGTTCTCCATGTGGCTATGTCTGTTCTCCCTGTGGCTATGTCCGTTCTCCATGTAGCTATGTCATTTCTCCCTGTGGCTATGTCATTTCTCCCTGTGGCTATGTCCGTTCTCCCTGTGGCTATGTCATTTGTCTCTGTGGCTATGTCCGTTCTCCCTGTGGCTATGTCCGTTCTCCCTGTGGCTATGTCCGTTCTCCCTGTGGCTATGTCCACTCTCCCTGTGGCTATGTCCGTTCTCCCTGTGGCTATGTCCGTTCTCCCTGTGGCTATGTCCGTTCTCCCTGTGGCTATGTCCGTTCTCCCTGTGGCTATGTCCGTTCTCCCTGTGGCTATGTTCGTTCTCCATGTGGCTATGTTCGTTCTCCCTGTGACTATGTTCGTTTTCCATGTGGCTATGTTCGTTCTCCATGTTCGTTCTCCAAGTGGCTATGTTCATTCTCCGTTTCTCCATGTTCGTTCTCCCTGTGGCTATGTTCATTCTCCCTGTGACTATGTTCATTGTCCCTGTGACTATGTTCGTTCTCCCTGTGGCTATCTTCGTTCTCCATGTGGCTATGTTCGTTCTCCCTGTGGCTATGTTCGTTCTCCAAGTGGCTATGTTCATTCTCCCTGTGACTATGTTCGTTGTCCCTGTGACTATGTTCGTTCTCCCTGTGGCTATCTTCGTTCTCCATGTGGCTATGTTCGTTCTCCCTGTGGCTATGTTCGTTCTCCAAGTGGCTATGTTCATTCTCCCTGTGGCTATGTTCATTCTCCATGGTCTCCACTGTATGCTGGAACATAGCCACAGTCCCTTGCTTGCTCCCAAGATGTTTATATAAAATAAAACCTTGCACTTGGTATATGGCAACTACAGGACTGCTGAAACTTAGAAATCCTAAATACTGGACCCAAAACAATCCTACAATTAGAATCAGGGCCGGATCTAGGGCAGTGCTGGAGAGGGCTATGCCCCCCCTCCCCCAGATTTTAGCTATCCCCCCCTGCAGGTCTCTGAAACTGCAGGAGACAAACTGATGCAGACAGTTGCTGTAAGGATGCACTTTAGGATGGGGACAATTCATGTGGGGGGGGGGGGGGCAACCTGATGTGGATAACTGATCATATGTAAGGGGGACTCTGATGGGGACCCGGATGTAAGGGGGCACTTTGATGGGGACATCTGATGTAAGGGGAAACTTTGATGGGGACATCTGATGTAAGGGGGCACTTTGATGGGGACATATGATGTAAGGGGGGACATCTGATGTAAGGGGGGACATCTGATGGGGACCCGGATGTAAGGGGGCACTTTGATGGGGACATCTGATGTAAGGGGGGACTCTGATTGGGACATCTGATGTAAGGGGGAACTTTGATGGGGACATCTGATGTAAGGGGGCACTCTGATGGGAACACCTGATCTAAGGGGTCGCTCTGTTGGGGACAATTATGTAAGGGGGGCAAGCTGATGGGAACCCGATATAAAGGGGCGCTTTGATGAGGACTCTTTTTTGTTAAGGAGGACTCTGATAGGGACATCTGATATAAGGGGGCACAGGTTCTGTTTATTCATCCTATTCTAATGATAGCCTAATAATACCAATGTTTCCCAAGTCATGACACTTTGACAAGACTGTCAGTGACTCACACACAGTATTGACATTCTGCCCCGACTTTTTTTTTACTGCACCCCCAGATCAGATAGGCTAGATCCGTCCCTGATCACAATTATTGCTCCCAAGATGTACTATAGACTATGGGATGTGTAGCTTGCATACAGCAGTGCACACGACTACAACTAACATGCTCTGCTCACTCTAAACAAACTGATGTGAGATGGAAAAAGAGAAGTTAGGGAGCTCACATTATGAGGCAGAAAAAACACACTAGAAACAATTTAATCAACAATAGGTCACAGGATCATTAAGTAGAAGATGCATATGGATTATTTTTGGAGAATAAGACTCTGTGTAAGAGAGCACTCTGATGGGGACATCTGATGTCAGGGGGCACTCTGATGGGAACACCTGATCCAAGGGGGTGCTCTGATGGGGACATCTGATGTCAGGGGGCACTCTGATGGGAACACCTGATCCAAGGGGGCGCTCTGATGGGGACATCTGATGTAAGGAGGCCCTCTGATGAGGACATCTGATGGAAAGGGACACTCTGATGGGGACATCTGATGTAAGGGGGCACTCTGATGTGGACACCTGATCTAAGGGGGCACTCTAATGGGGACATCTGATCTAAGGGGGCACTCTAATGGGGACATCTGATGTCAGGGGGCACTCTAATGGGGACCTCTAATGTAAGGGGGCACTCTGAATGGGACATCTGATCTAAGGGGCACTCTAATGGGGACATCTGATGTCAGGGGGCACTCTGATGGGGACATCTGATGTCAGGGGGCACTCTGATGGGAACACCTGATCCAAGGGGGCGCTCTGATGGGGACATCTGATGTAAGGAGGCCCTCTGATGAGGACATCTGATGGAAAGGGACACTCTCATGGGGACATCTGATGTAAGGGGGCACTCTGATGTGGACACCTGATCTAAGGGGGCACTCTAATGGGGACATCTGATTTAAGGGGGCACTCTAATGGGGACATCTGATGTCAGGGGGCACTCTAATGGGGACCTCTGATGTAAGGGGGCACTCTGAATGGGACATCTGATCTAAGGGGCACTCTAATGGGGACATCTGATGTCAGGGGGCACTCTGATGGGGACATCTGATGTCAGGGGGCACTCTGATGGGAACAGCTGATCCAAAGGGGCACTCTGATGGGGACATCTGATGTAAGGGGGCCCTCTGATGGGGACATCTGATGCAAGGGGGCACTCTGGTGGGGACATCTGATCTAAGGGGCACTCTGATGGGGACATCTGATCTAAGGGGGCACTCTGATGGGGACATCTGATGTCAGGGAGCACTCTTATGGGAACATCTGATCTAAGGGGGCACTCTGATGGAGACATCTGATCTAAGGGGGTACTCTGATGGAGACATCTGATCTAAGGGGGCACTCTGATGGGGACATCTGATGTAAGGGAGCACTCTGATGAGGACATCTGATGTAAGGGGGCACTCTGATGGGGACAACTGATGTAAGGGGGCACAGAGAATTTGTGTCACTTTAATTTCACCAATCCTACTATCCTGATCTTTCGACAAAAATTTGGGGGCAATAAAAACTCCTTCAATAAAAGCTCATTCCAAATACTCATCAATGGAAAGCGACCAAATACAGGCCAAGAATTAGTCATTGATGTACATTTGCGTCTTTATTAACAGGTTGCAGAGAGATTTCTGTGATTTTACATCCGGCTGAGTCTCAGAAATGATGAAAAAATGGGTTTTCCAGGAGGATATGAAGCCTATGGAGGGGCCACAATGGCTGATCAGAAAATACCGATCCCTGCCACTGATAACCACCATGTGACCTCGATCCTCTCCCCGACTTCCCCTCAAAGGAAAACCCTTCATCAGCTCCACGGTCTCTCCCCGAGTACAGGAAGAGGCAGCGAACAATGAGGCCTCCCTTTCCTGATTGCCTGGAATGACCCCCGCCAGGCCCGGATACATCGCCTTTTTATTCCTCATTATTAATAAGCCGCGAGAGCTGCTCGGATATGAGGACGCTGAAATGGCGCTGGTGTGTTTTAAAGGGAACCTGTCGTGATATGTACTCACCCTGGCATCATTGTATTCTCCAGCTCACAGCCATTCAGAGAAACGCGCCAATCTCTCTGCAGCCTGATAATAAAGGAGGATTTGCGCCGATGGTTGGCTAATTATTTTCTATTGGTAAGGATCTTCCACGTGTCAGTTTCCTCTTCGCTCTCAGTTCTTTGACGCATCTCCTGCTGTCAGATCTGCCGCGTTGTATTTTTGCTGATTGTTTGCAGAAGACATTCCCTGGATATTCAGATGTGTGAAATAGCCCATCGGAGGCAAATGTCAGTGTCAGCCATTGTTGTAATTGGTAATATCCCATAACCTACAACAGAAAACAACTGTTTTCTATGTGCCTCATTCAAACTGCAACGCTGGTGTCATGTGCGGTGTGTCGCAGAGCAGAAAAAAGTGACATGTCTGCGTTTTCCCAGAGCGCACCACTTCTCCGCACTGCAGTGCAACCCACCACTCTGCTGTGCAGTGACCTGAATAAAAGATCACATCAGATAAAGTTCAAAGTAATGGAGCCGGAACTACACTAGCCAGCATGGTAAAATGCTGCCTTTTACCACAGGGTCACTTTAAAGTGTTACTAAACCCCAGACCCTGCATTCACTATATCCGGTCTCCCCGGACCCTGCGTTCACTATATCCGGTCTCCCCAGACCCTGCGTTCACTATATCCGGTCTCCCCCGGACCCTGCGTTCACTATATCCGGTCTCCCCGGACCCTGCGTTCACTATATCCGGTCCCCCCGGACCCTGCGTTCACTATATCCGGTCCCCCCGGACCCTGCGTTCACTATATCCGGTCTCCCCGGACCCTGCGTTCACTATATCCGGTCTCCCCGGACCCTGCGTTCACTATATCCGGTCTCCCCGGACCCTGCGTTCACTATATCCGGTCTCCCCGGACCCTGCGTTCACTATATCCGGTCTCCCCGGACCCTGCGTTCACTATATCCGGTCTCCCCGGACCCTGCGTTCACTATATCCGGTCTCCCCGGACCCTGCGTTCACTATATCCGGTCTCCCCGGACCCTGCGTTCACTATATCCGGTCTCCCAGGACCCTGCGTTCACTATATCCGGTCTCCCCGGACCCTGCGTTCACTATATCCGGTCTCCCCGGACCCTGCGTTCACTATATCCGGTCTCCCCGGACCCTGCGTTCACTATATCCGGTCCCCCCGGACCCTGCATTCACTATATCCGGTCCCCCCGGACCCTGCATTCACTATATCCGGTCCCCCCGGACCCTGCGTTCACTATATCCGGTCTCCCCGGACCCTGCGTTCACTATATCCGGTCTCCCCGGACCCTGCGTTCACTATATCCGGTCTCCCCGGACCCTGCAATCACTATATCCGGTCTCCCCGGACCCTGCGTTCACTATATCCGGTCTCCCCGGACCCTGCGTTCACTATATCCGGTCTCCCCGGACCCTGCGTTCACTATATCTGGTCTCCCCGGACCCTGCGTTCACTATATCCGGTCTCCCAGGACCCTGCCTTCACTATATCCGGTCTCCCCGGATCCTGCATTCACTATATCTGGTCTCCCAGGACCCTGCATTCATTATATCTGGTCTCCCCGGACTCTGCATTCACTATATCTGGTCTCTCTGAACCCTGCATTTACTATATCTGGTCTCCCAGGAACCCGCACTCACTATATCCGGTCTCCCCGGACCCTGCATTCAATATATCTGGTCTCCCCGGACTCTGCATTCACTATATCCAGTTTCCCCGGACCCTGCATTCACTATATCCGCTCTCCCTGGACCCTGCATTCACTATATCTGGTCTCCCTGGACCCTGCATTCACTATATCCGGTCTCCCCGAACCCTGCATTCAATATATCCGGTCTCCTCGGACTCTGCATTCACTATATCCAGTCTCCCCGGACCCTGCATTCACTATATCTGCTCTCCCCCGGACCCTGCATTTACTATATCCGGTCTCCATGGACCCTGCATTCACTATATCTGCTCTCCCCGGACCCTGCATTTACTATATCCGGTCTCCATGGACCCTGCATTTACTATATCGGGTCTCCCCGGACCCTGCATTCACTATATCCGGTCTCCATGGACCCTGCATTCACTATATCTGGTTAGTAAATATAAACTTCTAAATACCTTTCCTCATCAGCAGTATATAGCAGTCTTGTGATTTCTATCAGTGTCTGGTGGAAAACTGGTTAAAGCTTGTAGAAGGAGTTTTCATTCTGCTCTGACTGTCCTATGAGGCTGCATTACCCTTGACCCTCTGCCCAGACAGTGCTGATTGGTCCTGTGCTGATGAAGTGCTCCTACTCAGAGTAATTGCGCTACGTGTTAGATACCTACTCATGGCACAAGCCTAAACTGGAACATAGGGAAGGATTAAAAGATAAAGAAGTTGCATACTCAGTAAAGGTGGCATTAGGTACAGCAAAATTCACCTGGTTCAGCAGGGACCGGCTTAATTTCGAACCATTTGTGTCCACTGCAGTTGAACGAAAGTCGATGTACCGATCAACTTTTTTCCAACAGCCGTCTGGTAAAAGTCGCAGGCAAGGTTGCAGTGCTGATCTGTGTGTAACCAGGTGCTGGACTACAGCGACATGAAGAAGGAGACATTTCCCTCTTTACAATCACTTTACTTTCACTTTCTGCTGATATGCTGAATGTTGCACTTGCTGCATCTCCTCCAGTCAGCAGCGAACAATGGCCAGGAAAGCGCATGGACTTCTATGCAGAACATTGAGGATCATGGGAATTGTAGTCTGGAACATGAGCCACAGAATGCAACTTATGACCCATTACAATACATCTCCCATAGAACAGTTACAAGCAAGGGGAGTGGTGCAGCAGCTTTTACCACACTGCACTGGAAACCTTTTCCTTTTTTGCACTGATGTGTGCACATTGGTCTGGGTGCACATGGGTTATCGATGGGGTGAGTGACCAAAGACTGAGACCATGGGGTGGAAGGCACCTGGGACAGCACAGCACAGACCACAGAAATCACACCTGCACTGTTGCTGCAGGGAGAACTGAGTACCCTCTCACCCTCTGCTTCCCACCACTGATCACCGGAGACATTCTGTGGAGAGAGACTGAAGGGGCTCCCCTTCTACAGCGAGACTGCACAGCTGCTTACAGGAACTTGTAAGAGGGCTCTCTGCCCACTGTTCACATTGTTAGTAGGGACTGAGTTAATGGAGGCTGGGAATTTGGTATACTGCACCCAGGGGCGGACTGACAACTCATGGGGCCCCCGGGCAATAGGGGATCATGGGGCTCCTGTGTCCTTGCCCAAACTAAAAAAAGCCTATGAAAAAGGTACCAGGGGCATCTCATGGGGCCCCCTACTGACCCTGGGTCCTCGGGCAGTGCCCGAGTTTCCAAATGGTCAGTCCGCCCCTGACTGCACCTGAACCACACCTATACCGAACTGTTACTGCATTTTTACTGCATGTATACTGCATGCTGGTTTACTAAAGCGGTCGTTAAGTGCACCTCTTAGAGGGCCCGCGTGTAAACGTGTTTGTGTGTTTGAGTTTAGATGTGTTTTAGGGCTGGTCCATATCCAGATGCTGTCCAGAGCCTTTTTTTCTTCATCAAAAATGCATGCACAGCATTTCCCATGTATTCAAATGGACCCGGTACACCAGCACAGTCAGTTCCAGGTTTTGCGTGAAGGAAAAAAATGGTAGAACGTGCCGCATTATGCTCATGATGGGATCCATAGTGAATACAACCAGAAAAGACAGGTCATCTCAACACATACTGCTCTCTCTGCTTCTGCTCTCTATTTCTCACAAAATGTCTGAAATAGGTAATTAATTACTGTTTTTCAGTGCATTCTGGGCATTTGGAAGGTCTCCTGAGGTTATCTTTTAAAAACACTTCTAAACGCAAATGCGCATAAACACAGTAGGTAAGCGCGGTTAAACTGACAATTTTAACCTACGTTTTCTAGCAGTCAGTTTCCAGCGGTCAGAAAAGTTTTTCAAACGTCCATGAGTGTACATGAGCCCTAAGAGCGTAGTTTTTTTTTTAATTCCAGTGTGCATGAGCCCTAAGAGAGAAGGTGTGTTACTGGCCAGATCACCAGATAAAAAAATAAGGGGAAAAAAGCCTAATAAAATAGAAAACTAATGCAGCCACCACATCTAAGTATTGGTAAACTGTAATATGTTACATTTTTTAATTTATATTTTTTTATTACATTTTTTATTTTTAGATTTAATACCTCTTTAAATCTTTACGGTACTCAGTTATTGCCAGAAATCAGCTCAGCTGTACAGCCTAGTGATTGGTTATTTTACTCCCAGTGTTAAAAAACTTGATGAAACTTCATCTCCTCCAGGGCAGGGTCTGATGAATTGAGCACGTGTGACCCCGAGGCAGGCCTCCCCTCCTCTTC